AGGGAACATGAATCAAATATGTATCTTTATTCATTTACAATAAACTCATAAAGTACATCATTCTGATTGAAGCTAAGGGCATACAAAACTGTCTAACAACGATTGCATACATCCCTGTATTCCTCAGCCATTACTCGATCAGTCATCAACATTCCATTACGCTGCATTTGGTTTGAAGGAAAAAGTAGAGAAAGAAAGAGAGAGGTAGGGAAACCTTCCCAAACCTTGTATACGTTTCCCTACCTTTTCTTTCCTTTCCCTATCTTTTCCTTCAAACCAAACATAAGGTTAGTGTGAGACCATTACTTGCTCATAGCACCGGCTCATTAGTAAAATTCCCATTTTTTCCCTTGGATATGGGCTACATGGTGGCTTTTAACTGAGCTACAGCTATTCCATTTCACGGTATCAATTATGACAGTATGGCTCAATTCATTTAAATTTTGTAATCAATTTCCATCAAAGATTTGTCTAAAATTTTTCTACAAATTTTTTTTTTATATTTCTATGTATTTTTAAAATTTTATTACTTAAATATGACATCTTAGGTTAGGTTGACCCATTTCACCTAAATGGTTGAATCATTAACTTTCCACCTTGTTGAAAAAATGGTTTCATTTTCTATATGTTTTTTAAATTTTGTAATCCATTGCATCATTAGCAAAAATAATTATGATTTATCATACTTTTTATTTATTTTGATGAATATATAATACTAAAGATGTGCACAACTTTTTATATCAATTTTCTATATATTTTTGTATTTTGTAGTTTTATAATTATAACATCATGGGTTGACCCATTTGACCAAGATAATAAAAATGGTTTTATTTCTATGTTAATTTAAATTTCTTGTTCCATTTCCATCATCAATAAAATTAATTTCTTATCTATAATATCATGGTTTGACCCATTTGACTTGAATGATTGAACCAATGACATTCCACTTAGACAAAAATTCAATTTTGAAATTTTCATTCCATTTTCATCATTTGTAAAGATAATTCTTAACTATTACACTTAAAAGAACTATTTGTGCTTTCAATAACCCACTATTTATATCATAGACCTCCTCCTCTTCTTCTTTTTCTTTTGTTTTATTTGGAACAAGGTAGGGTCCGAATGTTACATATAGGACAGTTCTTAATTGTGGCCACTGACATGATATCTTAAAGCTAACATGATTCTCCATGTTCGGCCTTGTACATTGTACACTTTACCCCTATGCCATCGCAAGGTAAAATGTTTTCACCCTTCTTAAATTACTGGAAAATTGACCAAAATTTTCAGAAATTTAAAACCAAGGGTACCTCCTCAAATGAACATTTTAGATCTAACCTATCTAAACATGTATTATGCAACCACAAGCAGCTAAAAAGGTGAAAATATAACACCATAAAGCAGACTAGGTGTGCCTCTTTGTGTTGTTTTTGTTTTTGTTTTTTTCTTGTTCTGCTGTGTGTTTCTCTTGTTTTTGTTCTTGTAAGTCTCTCATTCTATTAAAAAAAAAACAAAAAAAAAAAAGGATAAGAATTCTACAAGCGCAACTCCCTCAACAGCCGAAAAGACGTATAGTTGGACCAACTTTACTTTGAAGGACAAGGTAAAAAATAATGTATAATTTCTCTAGCTTTGTAATTGGGCTTTAAATAATATCTTGAGCTTTCAAAGGAGACTCAAATAAACAAAAGAAAAGAGAAGGAGAAATTAAAAAAAAAATGTAAAATAAAAGGAATGTGTAAACTAAATGGAATTAGAGAATGTTGTCTGAAGCAAATCAATCACCCCAAACAACAGCTTTGTTGTTTGGTTTCAGATACTTCATCTATGTTGAGTATTGTTTTACCAGCAGGCATAGATGCTTCATTGATCTTTGCCTCCAGTAGTCTTTTGCTTGAAATCTCGTAAATTTGCATGATCATTTGCAGAAATGCATCTTCCACTTTCAAATTTTCCAAAGCAGATGTCTCCATGAAGCAAAGGCCTTCTCTCTCAGCAACTTCTTGTCCTTCCTCTTCAGTAACTTCTCTATTGTGCCCCAAATCAGACTTATTGCCAACCAACACAATCACCAATTCAGACTCACCAAAGTGTCTAAGCTCCTGCAGCCATTTTTTCAGATTACTGAATGTCACTCGTCGTGTTATGTCATATACAAGTAGAGCACCCAAAGCTCCTCGATAGTAAGAGCTAGTTATTGCTTTATATCTGCAAAAAAAAATATATATATATATATATTATTCACACCAACGCATCATAGAAGGAATAATCCACCCCCACCCCCCAAATATATACTACAAAAGTGATTGAAGAATATTTGCATTTTTTTCTGGCACTAAGATAAGGCAACAAACTCGCCACTACAACATGCTCTAATTGCTCATCATAGTTGTACATGGATTTTAAATTTAAACTTTTAGACATTTCACTTCTTAATGCATGTGTTTGTTAAAAAATTCAAAACTGATTATTAAAATTTATATATTACATACATAAAAAGTATGTAATTCTTACATACACACATACACACTTTATTCATGGGATTTATTGAGTTTTCCTCTAATGTATTCAGGTGCATTTTAATTTTTTTCACCTTATCCATGCATAATCAAATCGTTTGCCTTTAACAACTTATTTTTGTTTTTAATATTTGAACATTGTATATCTACATACTACTCAATTACAATGTACAAATTCATTAATGACTTTGTTAATTTCATTATTTTCTTTTTGATTAGCTTCAGTTTTAATTGATTTAATAATTACATAATATTATGTATAGTAGTTAAATAATCATGAAGGATATTATGGCGTGCAAAACTCTTTTTCGAGTAATCTCAAAGTCTTATACATTTCTGATTTTAATTAAACATTTAAATTACCCTATAATATAAACCTATTGTTTATCATCAAAAGTAGGATGGATGAAAATTGATGACTTGGCCATGAACCAAATGACTTTGAACTTTGAATGTGCATTTTAGTAATTTTACCTCATCGTCAAGCCAATTGACAAGGCGCGGAGAGGCAAAGTGTTTGAATTTAATAGTTTAGGACACGGTTTTTGACCATTGTTGATCCAAATGGTCAGACCGTTTGGCCTAGAAACCGGTTTGAACCCCAAACCACTTTTTTGTCAAAAATTATTGACATGATCAACAACCTACTGACCTAGTGGTTGAATCATTAATCCATTTGACCCAGACAATGGTTTTTGGGTTTTTTTTTTATTTTAATTATTTTTTATTTTTTTAAATTGTCACAAACTGATTGATTTGAACCAAACAGTCAAACTGTTGACCTAAAAACCAGTGGCCAAACAGTTTCATTTCCAAATCGATTTTTAAAACATTGATGGTAGCTAGGTCTTTATGACAAATGGAAGTCTTGTGCAAACCAAATGTCATTGCCCTTTGCCCTTCGCTTCACGTCAAATAAATATCCCAAAATTTTATAACTTCCTTTCTCTCGTCGGGTAAGTGTAAATATACGTACCACTGAACTAATGGTAAGTAAATCATGGTTTTTAAAACTGAACTGGATCGGACGGTCAGATCGGAAAAATTGAGAATCAGTCTTAACTTTAAAATCATTATTTTCCTCAAAATCGTTGATTTGGTTAGCAACTACTGATCTGGGCGATCAAACTATTCAATGATTTGGTTGATTTTTATTTTTTAATTTTTTTGTTAGAATAGATCATCTGTTCGGTTCGAACAATCGGACTGTTTGACTTAGAAATCGAACCCCTGACCAATTCATCATCGGTCGATTTTAAAAACCTTGAAGTAAATAACGACTTATCAATTATGGTCACCTACATTATTTGAATTCCATATATAGTGAGGTAGGCACTCAAAAGAAAAAAGAAATAAACCCGCATTTTCTTATTTCGGTGTTAATGAATTTCGTGGAAAATAAAAAATTCTCGAACAGCTCATTTACCTATTGACATAGAAAATTGCTAATAAGTGATCCCTTCAACAATGTCACATTTTTTGAATAAAACGATCATTATACAATTTTACACGAAGAATAAAAAAGCACTAATAAATGACTTACCGAGATGTAAAGGAGGCCCACCAACCTTATTATGCTATTCATTTACCAATTTACTATTGGCTTCAACATTTCATCATAACGAACTCTAATTCTGCAAAGCCGGAAATCCACTAATTACTACTAGTAGTCTTTCTGTTTTGCTTAACCCATTAACCGTCATGCTTACATAACATAACTACCTACTTCATTGAAATCCCTACATAACTAGAAAACTTATATTAGATCAAGTACCTAAAATAGCCAATACCCACAGATCACTCTTCAGTTGATCTAGATCAGTAGTAATCTAACACATTCATTCAGAAGCTAAGCGGAAAGTTCCTAACCCGGCCACCTTAAATTCTCTGAATTTGTGAAATTCATTTATGTTATTTCTTTATATGTATATTTCCTCATCATTCAGTTTAGGGAATACAGTTAGGAGCTCTGGTTCAACTGTGAATCAATTATCATTAGGGAAGCAACATGCTGATAACATGCCTAACAGCCTAAATACCCACCAAAGGAATTAAGCAAAAGAAACGCAAATGCTTACCTTTCCTGTCCTGCTGTGTCCCATATTTGAGCTTTGACGAGTTTGTCTCCGATCTTTACGTTCCTGTAAGCGAATTCAACTCCAATTGTAGGCTTGGAGTCCAGGCGGAATTCATCTCGGCAGAACCTTGAAATGAGATTTGATTTACCAACGGCAGAGTCTCCTATCAGGACAGCCTTAAAGAGATAATCACACTCCTCATAGAAGGCCATGTTCGACCTTGAAACAAGAAGCAGAAGCAGAAAAAGATTAGGAGGAGGAAGAAGAAGAAGACTGTGAAGTGCTCTGTTTTTGGTTCTCTGAAACGAAGAACAAAAGGAAAGGACGGGGAGGAGGAATCATGGAGGAGTTGACAAGGGTTTTGGTTTTGTCTCTCAAGGCATGGAAATGGAAACAGAGTTCTGACTTCTGAGGGATAAACCGTGAAAAATCAAGAGGGGGAGGGTTGGTCCAAATCCAGAAATAGGAAGTTGGGAGTTAGAATGGTAGGTAAGATCAATCATTCCATGTTCTCTCTTTGAACCAACTTTTCTTGAGATTCAGATGCTTGCTATTTTTACTATCAAGTCCAAATCTCAATTGCAGAATAAAGTTGAAACACCAGTACTTCTCCTTCCATTTCGGTACAGCATTTGCAAATTGCAATTCCCTTCAGTGAACAACGAGTTTGTAAAATTCATGCTTCGCCCTACAGACACAAAACAAGGCAATTTAGTAATTACTGAATTAGGAATTCACTTTTTCTGCAACGCGGCTTTATCGAGTTTCATGAGTACCCACAATACATATGTTCTCCATATATCACTGCGATAAACGTCACAGCAATACATCGAAGGTCGAAATCACGCTGTAGGGGGGAGCTGGAAATGTCTTATCATGGGTCCCACTTTATCAACAGGAGGTGGAAGATAAACCAGCGTTGCATCGAGCATTTCTCGTGTAGATATTCATTAAGCATTAAATGATCTTGGTACTATCTAGTTAGACCAATCGACATCCGGATCTAATGCAAACATAAACTTGTAACGCAGGCTACGTAACCAACCGTGATCGAACACGTCAGTATACTTGGGAAGCTGGAAGTCTGGCGTTTCCAAATGCTTAAAAATTATAAATTTAACAATTCATATGTTAATAAAACTGAAAAAAAAAAAAAACTTTGGTACTGAAGCTGGAAGTCTGGCGTTTGTGTACCAATGGCTCTGCATAATCTGACACATCTTGATCAACTACACTTGACGGATCTACAAATTTTGAGTGCAATGGACGAGCATATTCAAGAATTACTGGCCATGAATGAGTTTTTGTTCTGATCTCTTCCAAAACACTACTGATCCTGTAAGTAAAGGATCATACTATGATAAAAGTAGTAAACAATCAGTTGGTATGGGAGAGTGTGATTGTTCAAAGCTTTTTCGGTAATTGGTGCCATACCTTTCTAGCGTCATTGATCTATCCCTTAATTTAATAAACCACTCACATTTTTATTGATGCTGAAATGATTGCAATCTATTTTTTATTTTATTAAGGTTCTGTTTATTTTTTGGTAAGTTATTTATTCGGGTAAATACATTTATCTGAATAAGTTTTTCTTAGGAAATACTTACACGGGTAAGTGAATTTATCCATGCTCTTTTATTTGTATGTAAATAAGGCAATGACCATTTTAGCTATAAAAATCTCTTATTAAAAAGGGTATTTTTGTCTCATTCAAGTGTTGACAACTTTCCCCCTAGGTAAGAAAATAAACTTTCCCTCATCTCTACATAAATCTGAAAAAAAGAACATGAGATTTTTGGTCAATAGAAATTAAAATCCCATTGACCAATTTTCTCCCTCTTAAAATCTAAAAAAAAATGTCTCCTAAGAATCTGAATCTACTCAACTCCTATCCTGACAACATACAAGTGAGAAGATGCTTTCAATGCACAGTTGTAATATTATGTATGAGTATAGGATGAGATCTATGAGTAGCGAATTGTGGGCAGCAGATCTGAGCTCCACTGATGAGAAAGGTGTAGAATATGTTGAACTTCCTAAAATAAAATAAACATAGTAACATATTCCTTCTTTCTAAAGTTATTGAGCCAAAGTTAACAAATAATTGCAAAATACTGAAGCATAATATAAGAACATGGATCCAAATACCTGCCGTACCGTACGCACGTCTCTCACAACAAAGGCTTGTCGCGTTTGTGGGCCGGGGTTGTCAATACATATCCTATTTCACAGACATGATCCACTATTAGATTAATTATGGGCCTGCAAAGTTTAAAATATTTTTCACTGCTTCAACTTCACAGATTACTTCCCTCAAACCGAACCTTGCATTATATCAATAAAAAATATCTTAGTACCTACATATATAAATTAATAATGTTTATATAAAATTCATTCTCAAATTAATCCTTATGAGAAGTGATTTGGTCCAACCTAATAAGTAAAGAATACGTGGATGCGGTTTGGTAGTTAGACAATAAATAAGTATGTAGTGTCATGTTAGCAGATCGGGGGACTTTGGGTGCTTGGTTATTTTGAAGCCGGAGTATTTCGGTACCCACGTATGCCGAGGAGCCACATAAATGAACCTAGAAGCTTATCAGTTGTCTCTGAACTTTTTGGAATCACGCTTTGTAATTATAGGCCTTATCCTTATCCTGCCTGAATCAGAGGGAAACGATAAGTCTTATTAACTAATGCGTTACACTCCTTCCAAAGCGGAACGGATCCCTACATCGCGGGCCGAGGATTCTGGGAGCATTTTGTGAGACCCACGGTAGCCCAGCTATATAAGGGCATCAACCCTCAAGACTCAGGTATGCACGATTACTTGCTCACTAGCCTATTTGCATCTAAGCTTTCAACTCACAATTAGAATACAATACTAATTTAAGCATCGGAGCAACCTCGCCAGGTTAATCACCCTGGGTTCTTTGATCCTTTATCTTGCAGCTTGGTCCAACTCGCTACACGACTAGTGTTCAAATAATCTTCCAACTAGGAGCTTCCGATCGCAAACCATCAAATCCCAACTAAGCTGAAATTTACATTCTTATCCCGGCCCATTTCATAAGCACTTGATGGGAAAGTAAGAGAATGTAGTTCTTGTCAGTTGCCGTGGGATGCTATTATTGGTTAAACAGCCTCTAATACAGCCATCAATTGCAGTATTCAGTGTTGAAAATTAAAAGATTACAGAGAGAACAATAAAATTAGGATAACGAGGCCAATGATTTTCTTGGAGCAAACTGCAAAGTAATAGGCATGATGGGCCACAACATGACGATGAATCTCATAGTTGGAAGTAGGGCTCTACAATAATCTCTAATGAGTGTGAGAATTGAGAACTCACCAAGGGGAGCGACGACGAGCTTCAGTGGAGTGACAACTCGTATAAAACTGATAGAAAAAAATTTTCACCCCCAAAAAATTTACAATGAAAACATTTTTACTCATCCCCAACCTAATCCTGGTGTATCTGAAAAGTTGGGTCAGTTGGGTTAGAGATCAGCACGCAGGAACATTTTAGAGACAAAAACACCTGCTGCAGGGCAAGTGGTAGGGTCTCATGATCTTTTATTATCTTAATAATTTATAAAAGACTGGGCTTCAGGTCGTACTTGAAAGGGAAGAAAAATAATAGAAAAAATTTATAGATAGTTACATTAAATGTGATATTTACTTTGGGAACAAACAAAATTGTAAGCACAAACTTAATTATTAGAATAATCAGTTATTGGATAAAAAAAATTGTCCTTGCAAAACTCATAATTCTATTATATACACATATATATCTAATACTCTCACTGTTTCCTTTTCACCGAGGTTCAAAGTTTTGATATATGTGTTATGCAAAAATTTCCTATGATGTAACTTCAAGGAAATATACTTTTTTTTATTAAAATTACTCTTAACTTTTAAGAATTGAGGTAGGGCATCACTACAAAGTTATTAATCTTCAAAGGAAAGGCTTTATTCCTAAACATAAGAGTACTTTAAAACATTTACCCTTATAAAATTTATGCATATTGAATGATGCATATTAATACATACGGGATTCTTGGGATCAAGGTTAAAAAAATCAATACGGTATGCTCCGTATTGGGTGTATCGTATTGTATTTTTTGGGTCCCGATATGCTAGTTTACAAATGTTTCGGGACCCCATTATTTTTTAATGATAAATATGAGTATTAAACTATCCAAAAACCAAATTTTGAAAAAAATAAAAAAATATATATTTTTGCGTGGTTCAAAGTACCAATAGCAGAGGCATATCGATACTTTGAACCATGCTTGGGATATTGAGCACTCATTTCTCTATCTCTCTCTCTCTATCTCTATCTATCTATCTATTTATCTATCTATATATATATATATATTAGTAAAAGTGCGTGCTTGTTGCACATGGCAATATTAAATGATGATGATGATAATGTTCAACAACTAAATGACCTTATTAATTTAACCATTAACCTATTTAACCAGGAAAATGGACTATGATTAAGACATTAATTCATTTTTTTTCTTTTGTATTTTAGCCATTGTATCTTTACTAACAATAATTCTTATTTTTCAAACATATTTTTGTTTAATATGAAGAATATATAATATTAATGCATGTTCAAAATTTTCTATAAATTTTATAAAAAACTCTATATTTTTATTTTTTATTATTTAATTTTTGATATAATAAAAATTATTTATTTACTAAGAGGAAATGCAATTCTAATATATTGTTTCAATATTGGTTTTTAATATTGTGGTCAAATCAACTATATATATCATTTATATATATATATATATATATTATATATGCTATTTATTATTTATTTATAAATATGTTATTTATATTACATTTTTGTAAACTTATTGTATGATAAAAATAGTTGAAAAATACTTATATTTTTTGTCTTTCTTTATTTCAACTATTATATTTTTCTTTTTCTTTTCCTTTTAATAATTTATTATTTTTAAATTAAATTGTATCATATCAGATTCGGATATCCAACATCTTGATCAAATTCAGATTCGAAGCAATATTTATAAGATCTAATCAGATCTTCGGATTGAATCAAATTCGAATATACCCTGATTCAAATCCAATCCAATCTATTTGCATTCCTACCAAACCTCTTAACTACAATGACCTACCTAATTAAATCATTGAACCATTTGACATAGTTAGTAGGGTCATGTGTTATACATCAATGCTCTTTATTTTTTATCCTAATTTTTATCCCATTTCTATCATTAATAAAAATAATTCTCATTAATCACACTTTTTTATATGATAAATATATAATATTATAGAATGTACACAAAATTATCTACAAATTTCTATATTTTCTAGAATTTTATTATTTAATAATAACACCATGTCTTGATCCATTTGACATGGATAGTTGAACCACTAACCCACCACTTGGTTGGAAAAACAATTTTTTTTTATTTTATTTTTGGTTGATTTTAAATTTTGTATTGCATTTTCATCATCAATTAAATTAATTCTTATTTTCACATTTATTTTTGCACGTGGTAGTATCAAATGATGATGATGATAATAATCAACAACTAAATGACCATGCTGGTTGAACCATTAACCTATTTAACCAGGAAAATGGGCTATGA